CTTCTTTATTACACTTCTAAGACACTTCTAAGCTTTATTACACTTCTAAGAGAGAATTGAGTGTGATTGTAAAGAGATAAAGTGCTTAAAGAGAACTTCTATAAATTTTATTGGGAAGAAGTGTGAGAGAAATTATGTTATTTTCTTTTTTGGTTTTGTAAACTTGTTTTTATATATGAAATCCATGTTTTGTCGTATCATTCTCAAGAATTATGAGTAGTCTTCTTTATTCTTCTCCCTACAATAAAATATGGTTTTGTGAATAATTAGTTTTGTTTTGTAAGAATTTAAATGTCAATAAATTGTGATGATTTGAACTTTGATCTTTATTTACTTTTTGATATTGTCAATTGAGAGGTTAAAATTTGTTGAGAAACATACGATCCGAAAGGGCTATGCTTTTTACTACAAAGTAAGAGTCGTATTCAATTTCATAGGTGAGAATGTAATCAATGGGTAGGGAAATATATGTTAATGGTTGTAGAATTGACGATTTTAAGGTGACAGATTAAAAACCTCAATTTGGTCCAATTTATTAGAAAATAAAACAAGATTGTTAGCCTTTGGGTGAGGGAGAAGTGAGAGCTCTGAAGTGGCAACTAGTATCCTCTCAACCTAACCACTTATATAGGGATCAAACCCTAGATTAGTCAATATTTTTGGTGCACTCTCAGAGGGAAAATAATAGAATTGCTTCTACTTGACACAATACAATTTTATATATAGTTTAAATGATTTTAATTTCTCCACACTCCATAAACTCATTGTGAAAGAGAAATATGCTTTCTTAAATTTAAACTTTTTGTTTCAAAACTTTGTTTAGTCTTTATAAGTTTACTTTCAAAGTTTAACAATTAGTTTGATTAACTTAGTTCTTTTAATTGCATTTCATTTAACACACATAAATTTACTTTATATTTATTTTATCTGTTTAAGTTTTATAGTTTGAATATTGTGTTTGACGTTATAATTATAAGAATTTCCAACTCGTTGTGGGATCTATACTTAGGACTCCATTAGAGTCCTTTATTACTTGAGCAATATGTATATTTGCTTTATTATTACGGGTTTGACAGCTTATAGATTTTAAAAGATAAAATTATTTATACTGAATTTAGTTTTATTGGGATTGAACTGCATGTTTATTATTAGTGTTGTCGTGTGTGTATTGTAATATTGAAAGATATTTACAACGCACAACACAAAGTCGCCCGCATCACCAGTTTGACAAGACATGATGTAGACACTTTCTAATGAGTTCTTTAAATCGTTTCTATGCTTTGTATATTGACTCACCTTCATAATGAGTAAAAGAGGTAATATCATTTATAAGCTTAATAGTTTTTTAAGGTGAAAAATACTTAGCCAAAAATTTTTATGCTGACTCCTCTAAAGTTCTAATAGATCTTGGTGCTAATGAATTTAACTACATTTTAGTTTTATCCTTTAAGAAAAAAAGTAAAAAGTCTAAGTCTAACAACGTCAATTGATACACCATCATATTTAAATAAAGCATACAATTCTAAAAAGCTTGCAATGTGTAACTTTGGATTCTCAGATGGTGTTTCCTCAAAATGATTGTTTTGTACCATTTGTATAACAACATACTTAAGTTTAAATGAGTTAGCCACTACACTAGGGATTTGTATACTTGAGTGAATTTCATTGTTGTATGGTTTGCATAGTCCCTTAAAGGTTTTTGTAAATCAAGATGTTCATTTTCATTTGTTTGGTTATTTAAGTGAATTTGTGATGCGTTTGTCATTTCTTGACAATTATGAAGTTCTTTTCATTTTAAATTTTTCCTAATAGTTCGTTCTAACTCAGAATCGTAGGGTACTAAACATTCGGTTCTCGAACTATGCACGCACAATTAAAATTTAAGAAATTATAAATTAAAAATAAAACAAAATACTTAAAATAAAAATATTTTTTATTTTTTAAATATTTTTCATTTTTTAAGAATTTTTGAATTTTCAATTTTTTTTTGTTTTTTTATATTTTTTAAAATAAACAAATACCGATAAAATAATATACAATTCTTCCAAAATAAATCTACAACAAAATAAAAATTAAAATTTTTAAGTCAGAAAATTTCATTATTTTTCTCAATAATGACGTCAAAAACTTAACCTGAGCCACAATTACGTAATTATTTAAGTCCGAAAATATGACCAAAATGTTGACCCAATTTATATGTAACAGTTGGTGTGCAAAATAAATGTGTAATTAAATTGATTAAAGATTTATATGCTTGGGATACTACGCAAGCATACGTATCGTTTCAAATAATATAGAGTTTTATTTAAAAACTCCAACATTGATCCCACAATGAAAATAAGGATTTTACTATGCTAACTTAAAAATATTTCTACATAAATTGTAATATAAATTTGCAAGAGAGTAATATTGAACTGTTTGTAAAAGGGTGTAACTAAAGTGACTACTTCTACTAAAAGTAAATGCAAAGTCTCTAAATTTAAAATGTGTAAAGAAGTACGATTTTAATAAAAAGTCTTCCCTCTTTACAAAGAGAATGTAAATAAGGGTTGAAATCAAATGATTAAAGATGGAAGTGAGGTATTATGACAAATAGGAGCATGCCTATTCTTTATCCCTTACGAGCATAAAGAATATTGGTTAATCTAAAGTTAGTTCTAGCTTGTGTTATAGTGTTGAGTATATTCTAGCATCTCACTTTTAGATTACCCATTGTGCCCTCTCTATATGACCTACTAGGGACGCTTAGTTCCAACAATAGATCAAATTGGTAAAGAATCTAGCATGTCACCCTAGAAACACCAATTTTACGCCCATCAAAACTTATATCTCTATCTATTTGCACTCCCCCTAGATTTGACATCCCCATCCTCTAAGGTTTAGTGTGGTACTCACTAGTTGGTGAAATTATAGCCCTACCAGGTCACTATGTTTCGCAATGGATTTTAACATCACAAATGACCAATTTGTAAAGTAAATGATTTGTACAATTTGTAAAGTAAATGAAGAACCGATAAAAATACCACCACAAAATTATTTGAATAAAATAAATATTTAAAATATTATAATCCCACACATCATTACTTCTTATTGCAAGGAGAAATAAAAGAAAACTACTTAGAAATCATGAGGATAACAAAATAAAACATCGAATATATAAAAAACCAAGTTTATAAGACAAATTTTAAACAAAGGTACAAATACTTATCTCAAACTTCTCTCCGAGCAATCCTCTGAAGTTTTCTGACAGAACTTGACGCCACAAGACTCACACAAGACTCTACAATCACCACACTCTTACTATAGTGGCACCCACCCCTATAGTGGTCTAAACTACTAATAAAAATAAAGTTTTTCTTTTTTTTCCTTCTTTGAACATATAGAAATTATATTTTATATATAGAGCTCTGAAAATAACCAAGGGTTAAAACACATTTTCAAAATTTGTCCAAATTCATTGAATGTTGGGCAAACTGTTTCTGGTGCCTAGGCGCCCAACCGTCGCGCCTAGACGCCGACCTTCTAGAACATGCTGACGCCTAGGAGCTCGGTCACTTTTCGTGTCTTTGGCTTTAATTGACCCATTTTTGCTCCTTTTTTCTCTTATTGCACTTGAAATAAAAAGCACACAAAATATATTTCATTAAAGCACAATATTATTAAAAATAAACATGAATTACATAGATAAAAACAAGTAATTTTGAGGCGTGTCAGCCACCATATGAGCCGTCTCATAGAATTAATTCACTTTATTCATTCTCAACAACAGTCACAACCCCTTTTTGGGTGCGCAACGGATATAACTAACCCAGACACTATTTAAGATAAGGTAGATGATGCCTAAATCTAATCATTTCAAAATCTTTTTCTTTACCACCTCTTTCATGATAGGGTTAAATCTCCTCCATGGATCATCCCTAGGTTTATGATTGTCTGCTATAAGAATCATATGCATACACATTGACATACTAATCCTCTTTATATCAGTTAGAGTCTACCTAAAGACTCTCAGAAAACTTCTCATAACTGTCATCAATTTTTCTTCTTGTAAACTACTAAGTTTTGAAGAGATAATAACAGGTAATGAGGGGAAATTTCAGATGCATAGGTAAGAACTTCAGTTCAACTTTAAGTGACTCATCCATGGATGAAACTAATGGTTTAGAGTTTTCAATGGATCCAATAGTTCGAACCTCTCCCTATACATCTTAGGGTTTGATTCTATCAATAGAGTCGATTCATCCCGAGAGTTATGTCTATCATCCTTAATAAAAATCCGCTCTATTGGATCAACTGCGCAAATCTTCTGAAATTGGCTTCTACTAAGTCGGTTCACTAAATCAAGCCTAAAATATGAATCATTTTTTGATTCAGAAGAGAATTTCATAGATTTTAAGACATTAATAGTTACTTCCTGATCATTTACTCTCATAGTCAACTCCCTCTTCTGCACTCAATCATCGCCCTACGAGTGGTTAGGAAAGGTGTGCCTAAGATGCTGAGTATTTCCTTATCATCCTTCATATCCAAAACAATAAAGTCAGCATGAAAGATAAACTCATCCACCTTTACTAGAACATCCTTTATAACTCTCATAGAATAGGTAAAAGATTGGTCAACAAGCTGAAGGGTTACAGTGGTGAGCTAGACTTCTCCTAATCCTAATCTCTCAAAGATAGACAGAGGACACGAGGTTAATGGTGGCATCTAAGTCATATAAGGCTTTTCCAATGAATTTATCTCTTATAGCACAAGAAATTGTGAAACTCCCAAAGTCCTTAGGAGAATTTTAAATTCAATATCGTGAAAACAACATAGTTGATATGTTATAGTTAGTTGGCACCTAAAATTAAATTTCTCCTTTAATGATCCCAAGTGATATAAATATATAATGTATAATTTGAAAATTTACACAACAGAGTTGAGAAAAGGAAAGCTAGCTTACTCTGATCTAGTGTGATGTTACTATCGTGAGAGTTTTTGCCAAAATTGTCGCGTCTTCACTTAAGAAAAAATAGAAGAGCCGAAGTGAAGGCGGGTAGATTGGAAATTAGAAGGGTCATCCTTCTCCTAGACAACAATAAAGTATTCAGAAAGGAACAGACACAGAGACACTACTTCCCTAGGCCACATTCCTGGTATCCGCTCTATCTCCTCCCATGGAGGAGCAACGGCGCCAGCTGCTGTCGGCCACTGCACAGCAGCGGAAGGGGCGGAAGGGGCGGAAGAGAAAGTTGGAGGATGTCGTCACTCCATCACCAGTGGCTGAAGAGGACGAGGCGTTGGAGGAAGGCGGCGCCGGCGAGATCTGCTGCCAGAGCTCCTTAGAAACCCTAGCTCTCCAGGTGAGGGACCAGGTAGAGGTCCTAGAAAGAGGCTTTTCATGGAGGAGAGCCGATCGGGAAGCCGCTAAAAACGCTACTCATGCCCTCGCCGACCTTGCAAAGAACGGTATGACTTTTTTGTTCTTATGGTTTTTGCTTGCGGTTTGGGCGCAATCATTATTTTCCTTTTCCTGTTTTTGAGTTGTGATTGTTGTACACCTACTGAGAGAGGGTCTCGCAGAGGAGCTTGTGAACGTGATAGTTGAGAACGGAGCTGTGCCTGCACTTGTTCGGCATCTGCAGGAGCCGACGGCTCTACTGATGGATGGCGATGGCGGGGGAGAGCGTCACTACGAGCATGACGTGGAGAAAGGGAGTGCATTTGCTTTGGGCCTTCTGGCCGTTAAGGTATACACGTTGTGGTAACTGTCTTGCGTGATCTTGTTTTTTCGCTTCCTAGTGGTATGCTGGATTTTTACCCGATTGGTCACTATTCTTTTTTTCTTCTCTTTGCGTTTTTGACTTGGAGGAGACGCAAAATAACTGATTTAAGAGGTCTAATGACAGATTCTGGAACCTTGGCTAGTTAACGTAAGTTTATTGGGTTTGAAAGTTGAGATCATTTTCCTGAATAGTAATTGAGTTATTAAGTGAAAGAATGACTAAACTATGTTTGGTTGCATATTGAGAGAAATTTTAATGAATTATTCTAAGAAATGGGCTTTTGATCTTGAGTTTTAGGGTTTATTTGGGACAACTTTCTGCTTGCTTTTTCATTTCAGACCGCCACCACGGCTGTGTTTGAGAAACTATTTAGTAGAAATTTCTGTGGTGAGAAGCTATTTTTTCTAACATGACCTGTTAGAGTGTCGTGACTGTAGGAAAATTCATGTTTGATTTTTTTGTAAAAAAATATTTTTAATTCTCATCGTAACTTTCTAAGAAGTTGCTTTCTCCACCATAATTTTACAATCAATTTTATAAAAAGTTGCAGCCAACCGAAACAGACCCTTAGCATAAAAGGTGTTCAAATTATTATTATCTTTTTAATTTTTGTCAAGCCCTATAACTAGATTCAAGCACTTATGCACGTGGAAGAGAAAAAAACGCCTCTTTGTTCTTGTTAAAGGAATCGTAAAACTTAGTACTTGCATGATCCTTCCTTTTCCCATGAAGAGTAGCTTGATGGAAAACTTGAATATATATATATATATATATATATATATATGTCTGTGTGTTTGTGTGTGTGTTTATTAGTTTTTATTTAAAAATTGAATGTTTTGGTATTTGCCTTACTCTATTAAATTAGGAAGCAAGAGTGCTCATAGAAAGTGCCTTGGGAGACAATATATAGCTTTTAATGGAGGTTAAAAAAATCCTATTAATTTTCTATATCATGCATCTTTCACCTCGTTCCTTCCCTTATTTCTTGAGAAGCAAAATTGGTAGTAGCATCCTATTACAAAGGGAAATTTAGCAAAATAAATCATATTTTCTTCCTCTCCAATGAAAAGATTGCTGTTTTAACTTATTGGGTCCCCATAAAAAGTATTGTTAAAATTAAAAGAAATATTGCTCTTAAATAGCTTACTCCCTCTATTCCTTCTTCACCGTCATGTTATTAGTGTGCAAGCCTTCATGAACTCTATGTTAGCAAGCTCAAAATCTCGTCCGAGTTCACCAATTAGAAAGAGTCCCAACAAGATCTATATAGAAGGATCTTGACTCAATCAATCATAAAATCCTTCAAGGGATTATAGGAACTTGGTGGGATTTCATGCCCTAATAGGTGGTGGGATCTCTTGTCCTAGTAGACAATTAGTTTACATTGTATTTTTTTATTGACCAATGCATTTTTGCCCATCAAAATACTTTAATTGAGCAACATGCATAACTTCATGCTTGGGTTGTACACTGGTTGATATCTTTATGTATGCTGCAATTTAACCTAAGTTCTTTTGTGTAAAATATAGCTCAACCATGCAGGTTTACCCAACTTGCCCAAATATATGCGAAGAATTTAGGCTTCTTTGCTCAAGTTGGTTGTAGCCTGGGCATGGTTGTTTGAGTGCAACCTAAGCATTCATGTCATATTTGGATCTGCTTTGCAGACCAAAAAAATATTTCATGAACTAACAAGTCGTTAGTTTTTCCTCACCCATTTAGGCTATCACAAATCCAGCTATAGGACCCAAACCGAGCGCGTGTGTCGGTTCACGTGAACGACACAAAGCCTAATCGAGTAGCCTGTTTTTATTCCTTTCTAATTTTTGGCGATTTTTCTCATTTACTTTCATTCTTTTCTAGTCCTTTCATATATATGGTGGTATTAGGGTTTATATTGAAAGTTTTTTGGCATGAGTTTGCTTAGGCTGTTAGCATTTATTTTCTCTCTCCGAGCCTATTTACGAGGGTTGGTGCTCCGGCTGTATCCATCTCCCAAGATGGTGATTATCTTCTCAATCACCTTCCACATCCTCCCTGCCTTGCTCCTTACCGCCCTCCATTGCTGCAGCTGCCCCCAAACAACCATCGTTCCTATTTTACTGCAGTCACCTCTACTGCCACCTTCCAGAAGTCGCGTCCCTCGCAGTTGCAACCATCCTAGCTGCTCCTTCCACTCGTCATTACTTAATTGTTGTCCAACCCCACACTTGTCGTTCCAATCACCCTTAGATTTCCAACCTCCCTCACCACCCTACACCACCCTACACCACTATCTATCTGCCATCCCAACCGTTCCTTGCGTTTTCCTTGTTGTTCTGCCCAAACCTACCCCTCACGTCGTTTTGTTGTTCCAGCCCCTAACAAGCTTTAACACAACTCATCTGCTTCTAAAAACCTTAATACTGAATCTGTTACCTTCCAACACTCTAACCTACCCATTCTAGTCCACCTTGCCGACCTCCACCACCATTGGGATATATTTTAGCTCTGTTTATTTTGTTTATGTTATTGCATTTCCCTTTCAATGCGTCAGTTGTAAGTTTTTCTATTGTTGTTTGGGTTAACTCCGACATCATTTGGTATTAGAGCTAGCCTAATCCTAGTCATATTTTACGATTTTTAGCAATCACCACTTCCAAACCCTAATCATAACACCGAAGTGATACTTGTCGAAGACCTGAATGAGAGGAAATACCACGACGCAGTTTATGAGAAATCTGCAAAGGGATGTCCAAGAACCTTTTATGGAGGATGTGTGGTGGGAAATTTTTTAATTGCAATAGAAGTTTGTTGTCGATGAGACAATCTGGAAATGTCACCTGTAGTTGTAACATTGACTTGCCCGATCGAACAAATGGAGTGAATATCTTCCACCATACGAATGTTAGGGATGACAAACCCTTGCCTCAAAGACTTGATCTGAAATATTCGAGAAGCTAAAATTTTGAAATGTGGATTTGTCACATTTTGACAGCCACTTAGGCTTAGACGAGTTCATTGAGTGGCTCTAGACTGTGGAACTTTTTTTCGAGTACCAAGACGTCTCACTGGACAAAATGATGAAACTGGCTGTCAGTAAGTTAAAGAAGATTGCATTGATTTGGTGAAAAAAAACGAAACACACACCAAAATATGTGAAAAGACAAGATCACTATCTAGTTCAACATGAAACGGGAGATGCATCACTCGTACCTATTTGCTCACTATTGACCGAATGTTCAGACACTAGTTCCAAAAGTGGAGAGACCACATCGCCTGACGTCCACCACATCTTGCAGGTAAGGTTCAACCTTAGGATCTTACAACCATAGTACATACAGGGGAATATCCAAACTATAAAACTGGAGAAATTGATTAAGAGTAGAAAACATGTGGAGTGAACAAGTATTCCTAACTCTGTCCCAACTAGAAAGTGTTTCAAGTACCATGAATTTGGGCATATTGAATCAGATTGAACAACTAGAGAAATGATCTCTTTCACTTAACTGAGCGCTGTTAAAGAAATGGACAATGACACAGTAGACATTGAAGAAGGTGAGGACACAAATGAGGAGTATCATCTTCTAATTAACGAGGGAAAGA